ACAGGTCCAAGGAAGTGATTCTCCCCCTCTATGCGGCACTGGTCAGGCTGCAGCTGGAGTACTGTGTCCAGTTCTGGATGCTGCAGTTCAAGCGGGATGCAGACAACCTGGAGAGGGTCCAAAGAAGAGCCACGCATCTGATTAGAGCCCTGCAGGGAAGGCCCTACGAGGAAAGGCTAAGGGACCTTAACCTCTTCAGCGTTTCCAAGAGAAGGCTGAGGGGGGACCTTGTGGCGGCGTACAAATTCATAAGAGGAGAGCAACATGAAGTAGATGATGGTCTGTTCACCGGGGCACCCCCTGGAATGACAAGGAACAATGGCCATAAGCTACTAGAGAGAAGGTTTAGGCTGGACATTAGGGGAACGTTCTTCATGGTCAGGGTTGCCAGAATCTGTAACGGGCTCCCAAGGGAGGTGGTGCTCACCCCATCCTTGGGGGTCTTCAAGAGCAGACTGGACAGGCACCTGGCTGGGATCACATGACTCCAGGGTTGGTGACTCTTTTCTTGCCTGCCAGGGGCAGGGGGTTGGACTAGATGGCCCACTGAGGTCCCTTCCGACTCTATGAATCTGTGATGATGGTTGTAAGCAAGTGTGGATTTCCATGATTCATAGAAATAGAATAGCTGGGAATGGATCATTTTAGGAGACATGTGTGCTACTGAAAACAATTCTTTTTTTACCCTAGATTTCCCTTCTTCATTAGCCATATACCCCTAGCATCTTGCTCACTATCTGAACCATCCCAACTGGTTTCAAACCTTCTTCCCACCTTAAAATGTGTCAAAACCCATAAGCATTTAAAGGAGAACTTTCAAATTTGATGAATGGCCATCTACACTTCAAAGTAAGGTGCTTGGGCAGGGGCAGGCAAAATACAGTCCACGGGCCAAATACGGCCCACCAGGCCATTCTATCTGTTTTGCAGGGCCTCTAAAAATTTTATTAAATTAATATTTATTCACTCCTGACTTCCTGTCAAAGCTGACAGGAGACAGGGGCAGTAGGACCCAGAGGGAGCCCTCAGCAGGCTTCAGCAGCCCAGCCCTGCCCACCCACAGTCATTCCCTGCTTTTCTGCCCCTGCCCTTCTCCAGCACCACCAGCTGCATCCCCAGACTGTGGAGCATGGGATCACACCGGTATGGGGGGGGGTGCATTCATAGGGTGAGTCCGACACGCAAACTCTACCATACACATGCACCCACACTCCCCCCTCACACTGCCATACACAAACCCCAGCCACCCTCCCCCCACACACAACACCCCCACAAACCCCATACCCATCCACACACACACCCCTTGCTCCCTCACTCCACATACCCACACACCCACAGCCCCCCACCAACCTATATGCGGTCCCTACAACATACAAGAATAAGACTTCATTTAAGCTATTGTGCAGTCACCTCTGCGTACGCTACACAAACACATGTAAATCAGGACAAAACATTTTTTGAAATCAAATTAATGAATGTTGTAGATGTTCGCTTTTTAGAATATAATTTGGTATTTTTTGGTTCTGAGATGGAAAAAGAAATACTTTTGGGGGTACGGGGAGGGACTTTGGGGGGTTAAGGGGTGGGACTTCCAGTCACAAGACGGCAACCCAGGGGACGGGGCACCTGTCAAGGGGTGGGGCCACCCATGCAGCCCTTGAAAGCTTGCCAAAACTCGGTACGCAGCCCTCTGCTCGACATAATTGCCCACCCCTGTGCTTGGGTTTGTCAAAGCATAAAAAATAAAGTGATCAGACATTACTCCTCTGCATTTTGGTCACCCTGGGATGCTTTGAAATTAGGACTAACGCTGAAAATAATCAATATGCAACATTAGCAAAAGCCCTTATGTGTTTTAAAATGTTATCTGAACTCTGTAGCTATACAACCCATATTCTAATCACAAAAATAATCTCTCTAGTCACTAAAGTCCAAGGACATGCAGGAGCAGCTTGATTTTTCTACACTAGCATGCATCTATTTGTACCCTGGCACATACGGCTTCTCCAACTGTTGGGTTCTTAATGAAAAAATATTTGAATTTTCACAAAGAGAAGTTTGCAAACACTGAACTTCCTTTTATAGCAATTTAATTTAACAAACTTGTGAGCTACATCCAGTAAAAAAACAAAAAAAACCCAACAACCCCAAACCAAACCCAATGAACTTAGGGACTATTTTTAGTACAATCTTAGAGCCCTGATGAATGCAGTGAAGTTGTATGGGACAGACACTATTGTTGGGAAATAAAACAGGAGCAAATGCAATCCCTTTAAATAGAAAACATTTACATCACATTGGAAAGAAACAAAAATACACGTGGTCAAGGCATGAGCTGCATTTTACATACAATTTATACAAAGGAATTTCCCTTGTCTTCTTGATTGATTGTGTCACACCAGGTGTGTGATCTGGCACATACAAAAAGTGTTCCTATATTGGGAACAATATGCCTGTATTGCACATAACTGCGCTCAAGTTCCATTCAAACCAACGGGAAAATCCCATTCACTTGAATGCAAATAAAACTGTTCGCTGTCTCCAATTACGTCATCGTCTTTTGTTTCCTGAGGAGTAATCAACAAAGGAAGCTCTACCCAAAGGTTTCTGACCTTCTTCCAGGAACCAATATAATAGTAAATCCTTCCTGGTACACTGAGGGATTAACACACAGTCATTCCTGGAACCCTGATAAAGAAGAACATGTAGTATGCATGTACCCTGTCTTTGTACAATATTGGGTATTCTAGTTAAAAGAATAGACTAACTCGAACAAAAGTGAATCTATAATAAGCAGAAAGAGTTAAAAATTTGTAGGAACGCAAGCAAAACCTTAATCAACCCTTAAACTCATATAACATATTGGAATGGTGTGCAGAAATCCAGTTGTCATTAACAATCCAGTTTGCCATTTATGCCTTCCTGAGAAATAACAGAGAGAAGGTAAAACAGCAGGCTATGCAATCCAAACGCGCTGTTTGTCACACAGGCTAGAGCAGGACTCTGGACTTTTCATCGATCCCTACTAATGGTCCAGTAGCACTTTTAATTCAACATCTGTTTCCCTCCCTCCATTCTTGGTTTGATATCTCTACCCCTTACCTTCTGCCAAGATGCATGCATGCAGACATGCAGCTGCTTTGCACAGAAAACCAGCAGCAGTATTAAAAAGTAAAGAGTAATCAGATGTGCTGAGTACTGAGGGATCTGCAAGCCTAATATTTTGGGTGGTAAAGACTAGTTCAGGTATTTATCTCTCCCTTGCACCTACTGACAGGCCTCAGCTTCTTGAATTATGAAGAATTAAGTTCGATGTGTAAACATACTTCTGCATATTTTGCCAGCGTCAAGTCTGTTGAGGAACAAAACCATTGGCTACACTGTTTGGAATGACAGATGCTCACTTATACACACACATATATAAAATAATAAAAAGACCCTGTTGGTTTTGTGCTGGCCTGCCAACACTTAACAGGAGGCTGAAAGTGTCAGATGATAGCACCATAAACCCCTCTGAGAGATCTCCCCCAATTCCTGCTGTTATATGTTAGGCTTCTGAGGTGTTCCCTGCTAGATCAGCTACTTCTAGGTGTGACCCAAAGGACGGGAAATTGGAGCTGTTTTCTGCTACCTGCTCAGAAATGGTGCGTTTCTCCATGGTAACCAGCAGGAACCCAAGTGCTAGGCAGTGAGAGCCAGATCCTGTTTTCAGACAGATGAGCTGAGCACCATGTACTGTAGTAACCCCCCTCCACAAAACAAAATGAAAAATTAAAACAAATCGAAACGTCCCTGTGTTTTTAAAGAGCACCATATGGATCTGCACAGAGGAACACGGTTGCAACACTGCATCGCTAGAGGAACAGCGATGTTGTGGTCAAAGACTTCCTTTCCTTCGCTGCATAGTTTTTGTTCTCTTGAAGCCTCTCCAATTCTTCGTCTTCTGCTCCCCCTCAAAACAAAGTACCTTTCCACCAAAACGGTTTCACCTCCTGGAGGCACGTTCGTTGCCCCGGTCACGGGTGCCATGCCCGTGCTGGCGGCAGGTTCGGCAACACTGCACGTTGACCGTCGGGAGGTGGCACCTTCCCAGGATCCGTAGGGTTTGGCAGAAACTGAAAGTCAGGCGGTCGCGCTCGCAGACAAAGCCTGAAGGGGAGAAAGCAGAGAGGCGGGGAGGAAACCCCATCAACATCAGTGCAAATACCTGTATTTGGGCAACAGCAGAGAGAACAAAGATGGGTTCACCCAGAAACCAGAGTCACCTTTTCTCCCGGTGCTGGACATGGGGGAACAACTTGGCAAACTTCGGGTGATAAATAAATGCTAATCAGTGATAAGTAAATGCTAATCATTTTCGCCAGCGTCCCTAATGAAAGGCTGGTGAGCAAGGAGATAATGAAGTGATTGCCAGTGGCAGCAGGGGTTGGGTTTCATCCAGACCGTCCCCTCCAGGCTGGAGCCCTAGTTCCCACGTAAAATCTGTACCAGTGACTGTGCAGGGGCCTCGCCTAACTCTTCTCTTCTAAACTTCCCAGCAAAAGATCAAGTCAATCCTAGGTACATGACATTGTGCAGCATTATGAATGCAAGTGATGTCTCTTAGCACGCAGATTCACCCAAATACTCTCAGCTAAACCCCTGTATGGGTGCTGTCTGCAGAGCACCTGTTCCAGCAGTAGGTCACACTCACAAGACAGCTTAGTATCTTACATCAGCTCCATAAAATAACTGTGTGGCTTGTAAGGACCATCAGTCGCTGGGCTGGGTTTGAGCCCCACTCGTCCATCACAGGAACCTTCCCTGACCCTGGAATCGCAACCCCCTGATTTTTAACTACAATCTCCTATAATCCTCCTGTCTTCTAGCCCTCTGTTAAACCCCAGGTGGCTCCTCAAACACTTGTTTCAGTCCCGGACCAGCTGCTCATAAATGTGAGGAGCGTCCCCCGCTGTGCTTGTGTGCTAATGCTCTGCCTGCCGCTGTCAGAAAAGTAGGTTTTTGCCACTCAGGAATCAAGCTATCAGCACAGTGAGCAGGGCAGCCTGTGAAATCACCCCAGACCAGGTAGACTGATGCCTCTCCTGGTGACTTGGAATATACTCATAGAATCACAGACAAGGGGGGTGGGAGGGACCTCAGAGGCTCACATCTAGTCCAACCCTGCTCCAAGCAGGACCAGCCCTAGCCCCAGCCCCAGCTACACCATCCCAGCCAAGGCTTTGTCTACCCAGGTCTTAAACACCTCCAAGAATGGAGATCCCACAGCTTCTCTGGGGAGCCTGTTCCCATGCTTTGCTACCCTCCTGCTGAGAAAGTTCTTCTTAATATCCAACCTCCACTTCCCTTGCTGCAGCTTGAGCCCATTGCTCCTTGTCCTGTCGTCTGCCCCCACTGAGACCAGTCCAGCTCCATCCTCTTTGCAGCCCCCCTGCAGGGAGGCGAAGGCTGCTATTCAATCCCTCTTGGTCTTCTCTTCTCCAAACTAAATCAGCCCCACAACCATTTTTGTTGCCCTCCACTACCCTGTTTGTAACAAGACTACACTGTTGGCTCATATTCAGCTTATTTCCATTCCCCAGCACAAAAACAAGCATACTCCCTTCCACGGCCATGTTGGGAGGGTAACACTAGCTTTACCAAACAGATTTTGATGTCAGGATTCCCATTTCAGGACCCAAATTAGTCCAAAATATTTCAAAAGTGACAAGCATCCCTAATGAGTTCTAGATGCTTTAAAAAACTTTTAGGCCACTTATCTGGAAGTATAAGATAAGGTCCCTGGTGCTGGAAAATCTTACTCTGAGAGTTCGTTAAGTGACATATTGCACGGGTTTGTTATTCAGGGCAGTTCTGCTGCTCAGAGGTACTGGGGCCTGCTTTGTTTCTTGCATGTGTTTGAACTTGTGATCTGATCCCGTGAACTTTTGCCGCTGGCTTCTCTAGGAGCAGGATGAGCCCTTCAGATCCAGGGAAAGCTGTTGTCCTGATAGCAAACAGAACAGGTGCAGAACCAACAGCAGCATTTCAGCCCCTTCCAGGGATGCCAAGTCATTCCCTTCTTGTATCCCTGGAACAGCAATATGTGAGCGATCTTCATTCTGCCAGGGCTTGCTTTCATTTTTCAAAGATGTCCCCACTGTTTAGGGTTCATGACAGAGACAGCAAGGTCAGTGACACCCTACATTGTTAACAGTGCAGAGAATTAATAGGGGTGCACCAGTAGAGATTTTTGGGCCAATACTGATGGCCGATGTTTAATGAGTCATATCGGCCGATACCGATCCCATTGCCGATCCAGTGTCCTATTGCAAACAGCGTGGGAATCCTGGCTGACTACTGCCCTGCTCTTCCACCCAGATCTTTAATCCTCTTGGAGACACCTCTTTTTGTTTGTCATTCCCACCTATTTAATCAATGACTGACGAACATTATGGAGTGCTTGAGCACCGACTGAGGCCAGCTGGACCCATCTCTCTCTTCTTCTCTCTTCTGTTACTCATCACTTGCTAAGCCAGAGCAGGACTGAAAGTGCTGAGAGTTAGAGGGAAATCCCTGAGAGGAAGCAGGCTGCAGGGAAACCTGAGGTCATGCCTTTTCTGGAGTGACTGGCAACCTTGTAGAGGTGAAATGGTCTTACCTGCTTATGTGACTCAGGTAATGGCACTGGCTCGTGCTTTCGAATGGAGAGTTTTGAAGTGTTTTTAACCCTGCCGTTCAAGTGCTCTGCTGCTATCTCCATAATCAGCCTTTTCTTTCAGGGGAAGGGGTGGAGTGCTGCCATCTGAAATGTGGCAAAACTTTGAGGCTTTTGAAGGAGGCTTTGAAGAAATTAGGGTTACCCCTGCCTTGCAGCACTTGGAAAGGGGCGCAACCTGGTGCAAGCACACAGCTGTGCTCTAGGGCTGGCTGCAAGCAGCACAACCCCTTTGCATTTGAAAGCCCGGTGAAGAAGCCACTTCCCCATGGCACTTCTGGCTTCAAAGGGCTAAGTACCATGAGGACAGCAGACAGATATTCTGATTCACAAGGAGCTCATTTGGCAACGGGCTATTGTTAAAGGCTGAACATGCAGTATCAGTCATAGGTGGCAGCAAAAGGCCAAGACCCAGTGGCTTGGATTTGAAGCTAGACAAATTCACAATGGAAATCTGGTGTGAAAGGGTAACAGTGAGGGGCATTAATCATTCAAAGATGGCACTGTGAACAGGAGCCATTCTCCCCCACTTAGCAGCGTCTGGGTTGAAAGAGGCCCTGTCTCTAAAAGATTTGATCCTGCCCAAGCAGGAGTTACTGTTATGCTAGAGCTCAGGCCATAGGATCCTAATCATCCCTTCTCACCTTAAAATCTATCACACTATGCACAACGAAGGAGCAAATCACAAGTGGCTTGCTCCCTTTCTGTGAGAGCCCAGCTTCTGCTGAGATAACTGTTACCCGCGGAGAGTGCATCACGGGTGCAGTTATTCTGTCTGCAGGAATAGCTGTGATGCGCTCACAGTCTGGTGGGATTAGACACTGAATACTACCCCGATCTGTTAAAGTGATGCTAAAATGCTGCTCAAGTCCGAGGAAATTCAGAGCGGGGACCAATGGAGAGGACGGAAATGTTCCCAGGCCAGATGAGCAGCTCTCTGCAGGCGTGGATGCCGTCCCCCTCCGAGGTCAGGTCTGTGAGAAGTGTCCTTGCAAGGGAGATACTGGCTGTCCCAGGGACACACAGTGGGAACAGGCCTGCTGTTCTGCAGCATTCAGGGGCTCGGGACAAGGACAGAAAGGGACTCCGGGTATTTTGTGCAGAGGCTTGTGTCAGCAGTGAGTGACAGAGAAGATGCAGCTGAACACACCCCATCCACCCGGATCCCTGGCCATGTACCAGAGCCAGAGGTTTCCCCATGAGGTGGTCCCAGATGCATTCCCAGCACCCAGAGACCACTGGCTTGAAAGCAGCTGCATGGGTGACCCTCTGGCTCTGATGCATGTCAGTCGGATTGAATGGGCTCAGTCCTGTCCTCCCCAGGCCATGCTCCTGACACAGCATGGACAAGCCCTCACAGTCCAGCCCTTTGCGCCTGGGCTCACGGCAGGGAGCAGACATCTCGGTAAGGTCCAGAGACAGTTCGTGCATTAAAAAAAAATCCCAGCTCTGCTTCACACAGCCAGACTCAGCCCAGCGGAGCAGCTCCGTTTTGGAGGCGTTCGAAGGGATCCCACGACTCTGCTGATGAGGCTGGAAACCGTAACAGTGGGAAACCGGGTCCTGGCTGGGGCACTCCCTTGAAGTAGATACAGGGACAGCAGAGGTGGGGTGTTTGAACAGCCCCACGCCAGCCAGGCAGCAAAATGAGCTGTGAGATAATGGTTGGCATTTAGGGGCTTAGTCTATTTTAAACAGTTTTTTCAAGGCACAAAGAATTTTTGCCATTCAGGAAGAGCTGTTGTGGGGGGAGCAAGGAAGGGAGAGGAAATATCTCCATTGAAATAGAAAAGGCATTAAAAAAGGCTAGCGGCTTTTGCTAGTGAAAGGCTGGGAGGTGAAGGGCGGGAGCGGGAGTCCGAAATGGGAGAAGCAGGCTCTGTGCTTGGCGTCTCGCAGCAGTCGTTGCATTAACCACTGACGGCTACATTTTCTCTCTTGGGAAATGGGGCTCTGGCCCGTCCCTGCACCAAAGCTTTGGTCCATGGAGCTGATACCCCGTGAGGTGACGGTCTGTGCCCAGCGTCCCTCTGACTCGGTACCCAAGAGCCTCTCAAAGAGGGATGACTAACAAAGTGTTGTCATCTCTCTGTTCAGACTGATCCAGGCTGGAGGCAGTACAGGCGCACCGGGCTGTTGCCACCACCCAGCAGGCTCAGCCAGGGGCAAGGAGCTCACTTATCATTTTCTGACAGAGATGCAATTTCCCTCGGTCAGTTCTGGGGTGGGAGAGTGCCGGGAAAAGCATCACTAGACAGAGATGATGCAGTTTAACGGTGTTTAAAACAATCACAAAAAAGACACGGGAGTATGCTTTTGCTTTTACCAGAAGTTGGTTGCCTTCATCTCGACAGCAAGAAGGATGCAACCAGCCAGCCCAGGAAACTTGTTGCTAGCAATCCCGTAATCTCAGGCTGCCTATCTGCGTGCTCGGGGATGGGCGTGTTAATTA